CCTTAAACCTTACACACTTAACCTCAAACCCCCAAACCTCAACCTTAAACCCTAAACCCTAAACCCGTAACCTTAAACCTGAAAACTTAACCTTAAACCCTAAAACCTCAACCTTAAACCCTAAGCCCTTAACCGTAAACCCCAAGCCTGAACCTTAAACCCTAGACCCTCAACCTTAAACCCTAAACCCATAAACCGCGAATCTTAAACCCTAAGCCCTTAACCTAAACCCCTAAGCCCTAAACCCTAAACCTTAAACCCTTAACCTTAAACCCTAAACTGAAACCTTAACCTCAAACCCTTAACCTTAAACCCTAAACCTGAAACCCTAAACCCTTAACCTTAAACCTCTCTTGCCATATACATTTAAACCTTCATACCATTCGTGGGATAAGGTTCTTGAGGCCCTCCCAAAGCCAGACCTTATCCCACGCGGGGCCCGAAAAGGGCCCTGCCAAGCCTGAACCTTATCCCACGAAGGGTCTAGGGTCCTGGTTGTACGGTTCTGGCTCTAGGGTACTGGCTCTAGGCTTCTGGCTCTAGGGTTTGGGCTTTAGGGTTTGGGCTTCATGGTTCGAGCTTTAGGGTTCAGGCTTTAGATTTAGATTTAGGTCTTTAGAGTTAGGATTCAAGGTTTAGGGTGTAATTTTCTTAATGATGTGGGACCCGATGGACGGGTGGGTATTTTCTGTTATTGGAGGACGTTGCTGAACAAGAGAATGCTTTGACTTGAGATGCTGAGAACCTAAACCCTAAGCCCTTAAACCCTTATCCCTAGACCCTTAACCCTCAACCTTAAGCCCTTAACCCTTAACCCTAAACCTTAAACCTTCAACCCTAAGCCTAGAAAATCCTAACCCCGGCTGAGGCCTCAAGTTGGTCCTTGGAGCAGGTATTGGCGCTCTCCGAACTCTCGGAGCTTGCCCCTGGGTTTGGTTTAGGGCTTAGGGTTTAGGATTAAGGATAGTTTAGGGTTTAGGATAGTTTAGGGTTTAAGGTTTAGAGCAGCGTAGGGTTAAAGGTGTAGGGTAGTTTAGGGTTTAGGGGGTTTCGAGGGCTTAGTGCGTAGGACTTCAAAGGTTTGAGGCTTTTTTGGAATTTGCCGTTTTGGGTCTGGGGTTTTCATGGTCGTGTCAAGTCCTGCCTTAAAGGGGGCTCTGGGCACGCTTATTGTGTAGGGTGGCGCTCAGGGATGTTTGGGATGCTCTGGGCGGGCTTCGGGAGGTTTTACGGCACTTTTGGGCAAGCCTGTTGTGGTTCCTGGTTTGGTTGTTCGCTTCCTGCGGTGAGGCTGTGAATTCTGCAGCTCATGCGCTCGAGCATCAGAGTTTCCGAAAACTTCCTGTATCATTCCTCAGAAGGGCCACTGTGCAT